AAAAAAAAAAAAAAAAAAAAAAAAAAAAAAAAAAAAACAATAAATCAAATTCTTCCTGATGTGTTTTACTAACACCAAAAAGAGAGAGGAAAACAAACCCCAAATGTACTTTATTATGTTCCCTATTTTTCACGTCCCTGAGCCCCAAGGGTATAGCATTACCATTTTGTCAAGCTGGACCCAAGCCCCGTAATTGCTGAATTTTCCATAGGGTCCACATGGAACTCTAGGAAAGTCATTGTYACTCTATTTAGTACCAAAATGAGTGTGAGGGTCCCAGCGTGTATGGGGCACCCACAGTCACAGGCTGTGTTCGTCCCTAGTGTTGGCTCCTCACAGTGAAATAGGAATGGTTCTGAGTTATGGTCAGGCAGCATCACCATGAGCTCAGATAAGATGGCCAGAAACTAATTCTGATAATAAGAAACTAATTCTAATAATATTGGGTTACTAAGCATCATGTGAAGTTCTTTCAGTAGGTTTTAGTACTGCAGAGGGAAGGTATATAATCTGTTATGATACACATTGTTCCAAATATGTTTTAAAAGCTAAAAGAAACATCGTTTTTCTTTGAAYTTTAGGCTTTGTTCAATTGCACACAAAATTGAGACATTCTAGCTCCTGAAACATCCACACGGAGCTTTGTGTCCTTCTGGTGGATCAGATCCAGCATCATCTAGGGCATTTCACCTGGCACTGACAGGCACAAGCATATCAGTCCCACCTTCAGTGCTGCCTAAGCGTGGAACTTGGAAATATCTGTCTTGTCAAGCATTGCCATTAAAGGTCCTGYATTCCTAGGAATGTAGAAATTATTTCTGTAATCATACATTGTCACTGCACTAAATTCTTGAACTCTTTASGCTATTTTCTTGGATGACTGATTTCAAGTTGTGAAGAAACTGTTTGTAGAAGGGATTGGTTTTGTTAGTGTTGCAAATATTATTAATATAGTGCTATAGTAAAAACTTGTACATTTTGGTATTATCCAGTGCTTGAAAAAATGTTAAAATGGATGTTTTGAAGAAATCTCACAGAAGGAGACTACGTGATCTGTGGGGAAYAGACAGTTTAAGCCTCAGGCTTCTTCTATATTCCAGTGAACGCAGGAGTATAAAATATTTTGTTAGCTTTGTTTTAAGAGCTCTGTCAACCCAGCCTGCCAGTTACCTGCTCACCAGTAGCTAAAGACAGCAGGTGGTTTTGGCCAACCAAGCTTTTAAATGCATCTTGTCCCCAGATTTTTAATCTGGCCTTTTGCAAAAACCAAGCTACTGCTTGTCACTGGTAAGTTCCTCAGACTTAAGGTAATTGGAGCACAATCATTTCCTCTTTCAAGGATTTGGGTTTGAGTCACTTTAGATTTCAAGTAGGTCTCAAAGGTCACCAAAAAAGACTGTGAGATTTAATATCAATCATTTTTAATCCAGTTCATTTTACACTTATGCCCAATTCACATGAGCTAGATGCATTTAAAACTATAGAGTGCAATGCCCTCCTATTACTCAGGTATCCAAAGCTGACCTTAACAATTTTCAGACTTTAGAGGAAGAAAGCGGTTGTGAATTCCCAAAAAAAACAGAAGAGGAATTGATGTGAGTGGGTGCAGCCCCCAAGTATGCAGCAGTTTAAACTGTTACATGTCCTAGAGCAGGACMCTCAGTGCCCATACTTTTTACTCGATGCATGTGAGATCAATCAAGCATTTCTACATGTTGGGTCTGTATMCCATTTTAATCTTGTGTGTGAAGTGAAAGAGATTATATACAGGATTAGCAGTCAAGAGATCCACAGGCAGCAGGGATGRTGTAGTTCTCAGTGCACATTACTGTTAGAGCACAATAGCAAACATCTTTGCCAAGRTGATAAAGAAGAAACATTCTCTTTKTTGCCAATAATAAATATATAGGGAAGGATAAGTGTGTCATGAATAAAGTGTCCCTGAGGAAATCTTGGAAGAATCTACATGTATATTTACATATTTTCAGTCCCAGCAGCAGCAGAGCTATGTGACTCTAGTGCTCTGCCCAGGGTGACTAGTTTGTTCAGAATTATCACAGATATCTTTTTCATGCTTGCTGCTATCAGTCCATAACAAGAAAATTTAGGCAGCCGTGCCAGAAACCCAGACTTTGATAACCAAAACAATGGTGTCCATTATGATCACAAATCTCTCTCACATACACACACACACACACACACACACAAAACCCGAGCAAGTACCTGCAGGTTTCAGAATAAATTGAATATGAACTCAAAATACATATGCCTCTTTCACAGCATAAACAAGATCCTGCATATATTTTAGGACCTGATGATCTTAATTTTTGATAGAATATTGAATTAGATGCAAATCCAAGCCCAAAGTGCACTATCTGATAGCAGCTTTCTGTCGATTAGATTATATTGTAAATATATTATTTACAAAAAAATATGTAAAAACTATGTAAGAAAAAAGTCAATGAGGCAACKGCAGATTCAATTTCTGCAGCTGGAAAAAAATAATTTCTCATACTGAAGCTCTTCATTYTCCCTGCTGCTTTATGCTATCTCTGTTTTAACTGCTGTTAATGAAAGTCTCATCAAACAGCAGTGCCAATACACAGTAATATTTAAATGTTGAACTAGTCTCAGTGCTCATGGCAGCTCCGTTTCAGCTCCCTTTCCCTGCATACTCTCCATCTCCATTTATATGGCTATGGGAGGGGTACACATGGGGAGAATGGAGCAAACATTGCTCAGCTCTSCAGCCCAGAGAGGAAAATTTGTCTCCTGTCTTATGTATTTATAAAAGCATGAAAAGAAAACATCTCCTGCTGAAGTAAATCCTAGATACTCCTTCAGCAAAACTTCCAAAAAGATTTCAAAATTCAAAACAAGACTTCAGTTATCTCTTTCTTCTGTTGCCATTCTAGCTTCCAATAATTTGATCAACTTGTTGCCCTACTTCTGTTGGTAAAAAAAAGAAGCCAAACCTGCCCCTGCTTCTAAATGCAGTTCTGCTTTGAAAAAGGACTAAAAATGGCATGCAGGCTCCATGTTTATTCTGTGCCAGCTACTTCCTTATCATATGTGCTCAGTTTGCAAGTCAGGAACCTTTTCTCCTATGTGCCAGCCCTGCAAATTCAGGTGGAACCTATGGGTCAACCTGGATTTTTTCTTCTCATTCAGGATGCCTGAAAACCAAGGCTTCTGCCAGCAAGAGTAAGCCCTTAGTTACACATGTGCAATTTTGAAGTCTTCTATGGCTTTGAGTGAGCTTTAAATGACTGGAAATTGTTCTGTGGTTGTAAACAGAAGAGAATAGAAAGCAGCTCAGTGCTCTTTWTGCTGGATCTGCTGTGCTAACAGGAGCAAAAAGCAGTGAACAGTGATTTTAATTATTAAGTGAACAGATAGAAAATATGAAAGACTCCATTTTAAAAAAGGTGTTTGAAATACCATGTTTTCAGAAATCTCTATCTTATATATTTAGCATTCAAGCTGACAAGAAAAATTAAATGCTTCTCTTTTTTTCTCATATGTGTCATTCATACATTAGGAAGAGAGTGTAAAACCTTCATATAACAAAAAAGCCCCAAATTACCTGGATTATTTTGCATGCAATATCAAAATAAAAGGTCATTTATAAGAAGTCCTCATTGGAGTGTGCAGCAAATCAGAAGAACCCACTTTGCTGTATGGGAAGGATAATTCACTCTGGGCATTTTATTATTTATTAATTAATGTTTGCAGCTTTGGCAATCAAGCATGAACATTTTCTAGTCTTCTGAAATCTCTGTAGTCTGGAAGACTAGGGTTAAAGTTTATTTGATATATCCAAAAATAGTTAGCATGATAGATAGTGAGCAAAAGTTTTTCYAGTTCAGAGTTTTGATCTTTCAATCCCAGTGCAGATTAAACTGGACTGTTCAAGGCATGCTCTGTTGGCAAGAGTAAAAAAAAAAATTAAAAAAAAAAAAATCCAGATATGTAAATATCAATCAATGGAGGCTTTGKATGAAATTGATCAGCTTGGATAAAATTGATCTATTCTGATTTTTTCTTCCAGTTGTGTGTAATACTGGAGCCAATGCAAGAACTGATGTCAAGACATAAAACTTACAATCTAAGTCCTCGAGACTGCTTGAAGACTTGCTTATTTCAAAAATGGCAGAGAATGGTGGCCCCACCAGGTATGTATCACTTCCAATATTTCACTTATTTTATAGTAAAATTAATAGAGAAGCAATGGGAATGTTTACTGATAAAGGAAAGTAATAAAAATTAACACTACTCCCAAASCAAGCCTGAAAATTATTCTGATATTTTATGATTTCAGTCTGCCACAACTGATTTATAGATGTGCACACTGAGATGGTTTCACTATGACTAGGATATAATTTAGTACAAAAATATGTGTAGATGGAATGCAAAATGCCTACTGGCTCCATTAGAATTCATCGTTTATGTAATCCTGCTTCCTGCTGTGACTCTGAAATTACAGCTACAATTCATAATTAATTGTCTTTGAGACTAATATCAAGTTATTTACAGGCCTGGACCTCATCTCCTTCCTCTTACACCTCAAAATAATAATTCTCTCTTTTTTTCAGATTATAAAGGTTTATATCTCTAAGACTCTAAGTTCACATGAGTGCCCAGGACAATGTTGAGAAGAGCAATTGCCCCTGTGTGCTTTGCCAGTTTAAGCAAAGCTGTGTAATTGTCCTGATTTGGTCTGAGTTTGGAAAGCTTGCAGGGCAATGGCATTAGYACACTTTGTGAGTTCCCTTGGGACAGAAGTTTTAGCAGTGGAGCCCACACAGGGCACAGAAGGAACCCAAAGAGGGTTGCYTGTGTGCCTCATGGATGGCAGCTGCAGGGTAGGAAGCTCCTTTAGCTTTTGTCTCTGCCTGGGTCATTTGAGGCTGTAACCTACAGCAGAGTRAGAGCTGGAGTTTTGTTCAGAGCTGTTTCTTGCTGTGTGACCTTCAGTCCCTTTGACTGACCTTCAGACCTTCTACAGTCCTTTTAATAATAATAATAWTATTAATTATATTAATATTATTATTAACTATTATAATAATAGTTATCATGGTAGTCCCACCAGTAAAATGCTTTTGAATATCCTTATAAACAATACTGGGACAATAAACTTCACTACTTCATCATAAAAAGTTGAAAGCAGATTCCATTGGTTTGGGTCCAAATACCCTTCTGCGGTTTTTGTGTTAAATCTAACACAACTACTACTATTAAACTTAGCAATTTAAAACTAGATGAAGTAATATTTCAGCACTTCTGMTTGTAGTTCATGCTTTACAGTATCTGCCATTTGCTTTCCTTCTTATCATTTCATTGCAGCAGAACCCACAAGACAACCAACAACCAAACGGAGAAAAAGGAAAAACTCTACCAGCAGCACTTCCAACAGTAGTGCTGGGAACAACGCAAATAGTACCAACAGCAAGAAAAAGTCAGCTGCTGCAAACCTGAGTCTATCAAGTCAGGTACCTGTAAGTCTCACTTTCCTTTTAGGCCTGAATGACTTGCAGTGCTTTAATTCTTTCCTTACATTGTAAAGAAGGTGCATTCTTGAGCCAAAACTATCACAAGTAAAAGGCAATCTTGCACAGTGTGCTGTGGAAGCTGGGAATTAGTGGAGAGGTGTGAAGAAGCTGTTCTGCAGTGCAGCTTTAATGAAGGACCCTCAAACAGCAGTGTCCTGAAGATCAGATGTGATTTTTTGAAGGCTTGGGCATGTTCCCTGTTTTGACAGGAGGAGTCTTTCCCCCAGTGGTGGGACTCAGATTAGGCCTCGTGTTTGTAGACACAGCAGGAGCTTTGCAGGCTTGAATCTGCAGGGTGCTGAGCCAGGGAGTGCCCCAGCGGTGCAGGACAGCTGTACCTGAGGAAGCCACTGCTCTCTCTACATCAGAACCTGACCTCTGATYGGTGCCAGGTTCAGATGCTGAGCAGGAACAGGTTATGAATTTACTGACCTGCCAGGGTAATCTCTTTGTCCAACCACTCCACTTGCAGAGGGTAGATTCCCCTGGAATCAGCTTATCYACCTGCTAGCTGTAACTGCTGACATCCTAATTGTGTAGGGAGACACCAGAGTAACAACTGTACCAGCATTTTAATAATGTCACATTTACTGCCTTAGTCTCAGTATAGGGGTAATCAGACCCCAAATTGTGACAAAGTGTGCCTTAGTCAATAAGGAGATTGCTTATGCATTTTAAAGCTTGGGAAATTAATTTGATATTATAGGAACCATAAAGTCATATCCTGGGAATAACATTGAGGGATTTTTATTGGATTTCTGATCAGCGGATAGGAAGGGGCTAGGTCTMCTCTGAAACCTGCCTTTTGTTAGCAGACACTTCCTAGCAAGCTTGAATACCCAGATAAAAAAAAAGTGTATACTAACACCAGTAAAATGAAATGAAAATTTTTGTTTAGCAACTGATTTAGCAATCCTCTAGTTTACAGCTTTGGGCTTCAGTACATTAAACTCATATTTCCTCCTTGTCATATTAAAATTTTCTCATGGCTCACATCCCCAGAGTCAGATTCTTTCCCTAATATAGKCATCTCTCTGTTTTTCTGGCAGCACAAAGCAGTCAGAAGGCTGACTACCTGATCTCCTGGTGGCAGGCACCACTCTGCCCCACTGATGGCGTCTGCCAGAAAAAACTCTTGGATCAGTATTCAACCATATTTAAGCAAAAACAGCAATGAAGTGCAAAACTGAGCAACCAGATAGTTCCCTGCTGTCCCCAAATTTAAACAAGAGTTGAATCACTGTCTACCACCTATTCCCTACTCAGAGTTCAACAGGGCCATAATCTGCCTCCCTGCCTCTCTTCAGCTTGCTTCTCYCTGCAGAGAWGCCAAGAGCTGCTGTTGGTTSATGGTAGCTGTGTGTCCTTGGTTGAGTGAGATTGAGCCCTCTCATGGTTACTGCCACTCCCACTGATACTGAAAGTGACTGCAGGTACTAAAAGGCTGCTCCTGACAGATGAAGTGGTCAAGGCTGCTCTTCCTGATGGAGATCACAGTCGAACATCTGAGACATATTGGTGAAGTGTATCATGGTATGAGGGGTGGACTTTTAGCCTTCATTTACTTTCAGGATGTTGCATACTCAGTGTTTTTCAATATTCTTTGCTTTCTGTAACAGAGTAGCAAAACTGGTCCAAACTCTTTTCTATGGAGGATCAGGTTCCATTTTTAGGACACTTCCCCTTTCCATCTGCAAAGCGGAAAATGCTTGGCTGTTCGATTTGACATACTAACAGCTCTTCCCATTTTCCCCACAGCAAAGATAGCAAACCAGATGGAATTGATGGTTTGGCCACSCTGTAGAGTAGACAGAACTCAAAATAATTTTAGCAGTAGGATATTTTGGTGTAAAACTATTCAACGCTTTTCAGTTTAATAAAGAGATGTTACCCCACGCTTCTTCAAAATTATGCATTTTTTGAAGTGGACCTTGTTGCCATTGCTTTCTGAAGATAGCTGCAGGTAGCAGTAACTTATTTTCTGTTTCTTTCCCAGAACTTTACCCTAAAGTGTATCATTTAGTAGTTAATTTTTGCTTTCCCTTACATGCAATAGAAGACAGGAGATGCTTGAACACAGTTTGGCAGTTTTCAATTCAGTAAAATATTCATTTGGCCATAAAGCTTTCTATGAATGGGACTTTCCTGCTCAGTAGAAAAAAACCCCACCCTACTGAAATCATTCATTTTCAATGTCAAAAGCATTTCCCCTTGCCTWATTAGAGAAGAGAAATGGAATCACTGCATCTTCTATCTGGATGACTCACATAACCAGTGCTAGTTTCAGTTCCATTTTTCTCATCCTCCTCTCTGGAGTGCCCTGCAATGAGCTCACATCTATATCAAACATGGATTAATACAAAATCCTGTATTCCAACTTTCTCTTTTTCCCCAATGATTTCTTCCCTGTCAGCAAACTCAGTCTCTCCACCATAGCCACATCTAATTTCCTGTCTCTTTTACACTTCTGTGTTGTTTTCTCTTTAGCAGTAAATTAATCCTGGTTAAACAATGTTTTCTTAGCCTCTCTTCTATGTGATAATGCTTGGTTTAGGACACTGATAATAGTTGCATTTTGCTCCTGCATTAATGCTGCAGACACTCAGGCAACTTTCCCTACACCTCATCCACAYTTCTCACTCACACCATTAACTTCTGTTTCTTTAATGAGGTCTTCATGCCTGGAGAGGCAAATGTCCCTTTTTCAGGACAGTGTCCATAAAACAGCTGAAGTACCATCATCCATGGCAAAGCTTGAAACTTTGGAGTTTTGTCATTTTCCCAACAGCCCCTTCCAGCTCTTCAGATAAAACATTGGGCTGAGCAAGCTTGATCAATGACAGGGAATGGTACTTGTCATATATACATTATTCTAGTAGTGGGAGGAGAAGGTTGTGCCATTTCCTCTACCTGCATTATTTTCTTATCAGTTCTCCAGGAAGGGAAAGTGCTGACAATACAGAGCCAAGCCCAGAAAGTAAAATGTTGTGATTGTGTTTCCATGCATGGGTCAGGTTGGCACTGCACCCTGAAGCTCACTTGCTGAAGCCTAATCAATCAGTATCATTTGTGCTCCTTGTGTTGCCTTAAATTCATTAGTACTTCCACATTCTGATATATCTCTAATGGCAATCTATAAAAGCATCTAAAGGGTCTCTGCCACTGGGTGGGTATCTTTCCTCTCATCAATAATTTGAAAAGATTCAGTCTCAGTCCAYCCTCTTATCTCTATTGTTTTTACTTTGTCAACTGTGGTAAATAAAATACAAAGTTTTGTCCTTTTGACAGCCACTTGCCCTCTATTGCACCCATTTTCTCTTATAATGGTGGGGAATCCCAGTGGTTTCTGTGATTCTGTTAGCTCTCAGCCTACTGATGGCAGACCTACAGTGTCTCTTCTCAACATGACTCTTCTGGCCCAAGTCCCTCGTTTAATACCTTTTTTGTGTATTACAGATCTCCTACCTATTTCCTAAATTCTAACACAAACACTGTTAGCCAATGTGCCACATGATTGCACCACACAGCTCGTGCTTAGGTTGGCCCATTGCTTTTTCAGGGATGCTTTTGACCCAAATCCTGTMGGAGCCAAGGCAACATGCTGTATGTGCTGGGAGTCGAGCTAGGTGCTGCTAAAGTCAGTCCAACRGCACAAATTCAACATTTTCCTCACCAGAAGTTTTCTTCTCTCAGGATCTCATGGGTGCAGGCTCAGTGTTGCCAGTGCTTCCCATAAAAGCATTGACTGGTTTTAGTGCATGAAGAAAATGGGCAGCACAGGGTCCCAGAAGCTGTAGTCCACTCAGCTGCCCTAGTCTCAGCAGATGCCAGTAGTTTTAATTTGGATTTTTTTCATGCTYTCTGTTGCATCTGATCTTTGGAAAACCCATTGGGCAGGAGCTGGGGTTACCAATTTCCTCTTTCCCCTAGACAAAGAGCAAAGATGAGCAAGACTCCTCCTGCAAGGTTCACAGAAAACCTGCCTTTCTGATGTTAGCCTTCCTATGATTTTATAGAAATTARTTCTCTGATTTGAGTGTGTCATTGTCTTACCACTTACACAGTGCTAAWAAYTTCSTCTAGTATTTGAARYTGGCTTCAATATTTTCCCAAGTCTYKGCTCAGTTYTCAAGCCTTCTTACTGGCTCAAATCATATTCCTTARCATTTTTCATATTCTTCTGTTTCAAGTAAAATTTTCTTGCAAGCCCAAACCCTTGTATTGCAGACCATTGGTTTGTATACTCCAACCTGTGGATTAAAGATATAAGCAAGGTCATCAAAAGGGGTGGATGCAGCTATTTTCACTTAAATATAAATCTCTGTTAAGTTTAAYGAAAACAGGGCACATTAATTAATTTGAATTATTTGAAACTTGATAGCAAGTCACAACCCTTGCAAACTCAAGGAACTATTGCTCTAGACTGCTCCCAGTCATCAMCACAGAAATTAATAGGTGGATTTTGCTTTCATTTACTAATGAAGATCCTGTTGAGTTCAATGCTGTAACCACGAACCCAGGGAAATATCATGTGTTGGAAAGAATAAAGCATCACTACATGCCACTGAGTAAATCAAACATTCTTTGTTACATCCAGAGTCTTAAGTAGAACCTCCTTGCACTCTTTAAACAAATTACATACCTCAATCTCTCTTTCTCTTTGTAGTTCTCTGTAAGGTCCTCAGAAACCAAATCCATAAATAAACCTGCTAATTTGGAAGGGAGAAATACAATCTCTTATGTGTTTCAGAAATAGGGTGGGTTTAGGTGGTTTGTAATGGATGTTGTAGAGCCAGAGTTAAAGTTCCAGAGCCAGAGATTGGTGTCAGAAATTATGCCAGAACTGTGCAATTCAGAACCCAAGATTTACTAGTAAGGAGATGAGAGAGAATAAATTTGTTTCCAGTTTTCGTGCTTTAGGAAAAATATTCCAAACAAGACCAGAATGTCAAGTTAACAGTGAGGATTATGATGAGATGTGAAAGATTTTTCTCTAGAAAGTGTTTACTCTGAAATGTAATTAAAATGTCAGTTCTGTTTCTAAAGATCATTTCAATACCAGCATCATTCTGATGTTTTTCATCATTCTGATGTGGAAGCAGTGATTGTTATGGATGTGGGCAGCAGTTGGGCTCTCAGTCATTAATAATTTCTGTAACAAGGAGATGAAAAGTCAATTATTATAATAATTACCACTAAAACATTTCCATAAGATGAAAAGCAGGAGGAGGAACCCTTCTTCTTTTGACTTAGCACTTAGAGGTATGCTCACTGCTAAAAGTAGTGCAACTTGCAGTCCTTGGAGTAGGAGATGTGCTTGAACGATACAGCTGAGAGTGCYGGGCATTTTTAATTATCTCAGGCTTGTGAAGCACTGTTTGTCTACTTCTGGGTACTGTGACAACAGAGCTATGAATGATCACTGTAACACTCTGAGTGAGGCTTCATATTAATGTCAGCAAAGATGGCAGGCACAGGGATGGGGAATTTTACATGGCCCACCAGATATTTTTACCTCCAAACTTCACTAAGACATTGTTTAGATGTAGGATGATCCCAACTTAAAAAGTTGATGATCCCAAGTTAAAAAGTTGAGTTACTGAACTGGACAGGGCAGAACTAAATTTTGAGGCTTGGTATAAATAAAAAGGTGAAGCCTAGAAATGAAGAGTCTGTTAATAGAAGCCCTTGCATTTGAGTGGTGTGTGAAGTGATCTGTGTATAGTTTATATGCATCAATGTAAGTTGGATGGAAACTAGAGTTATTTCAGGATGAAAGGTATGATATACTTTTGTGGCTATATTATAAAAAAATACATTTCTATCACATAATGTAAAACAACCACTGCTTTATTTACAGTGCTTCACTGCAACCATATTTTACTATCATGAGACATTCCTTGACCAAAAATGTTGTTTCTAATCACAGAGTAAATTAATAAGAGTGAGTGACTACAGTCTAAATCTTTTTTAAACTTATTTAGTCAGATATGTGCTACCATAACTAGGCCATAGCAGTGTGTGCTGCCGTGCAAGAGACTAGGTTATAATTCTTGGATTCTGCTTCTCACTCCATGAGCAGGAGCTAGGAGCACTCCAGAGCTGCAGCCTCAACCCTGGGAGGGATGGAGCCTTGTGTCATTCAACAGCAGTGACCCCCACTGGCCAATTTAAGGAGAAGCATTGAGGGGCTCTAAAAGGAGTCACTTCCAGTCCTCCTCAGAGGTTGGTGGTCATTGCACGGGATCTAGTGAGTGGAGGTTCAATGGGGTGCACTTGGTGGGGTCTTCAGCTTTCAGTCTGAGGAGCAGAATCCTCTGGGGAGGAAACAGCATGTGCGCTTCCTGAGACACTATTTTTGCCTGATATAAGTGGCAAGATTGTCAAGAACWATTTTTTTTCAAATGTCCTGTAACTAATGCTGTGATACCTATCTTTTAAATAGATGGAGGGAAAACTTCACTAACCTCAATATAATTGTAGTTCAATTCCCAGAGAGAGAGAGAGACTCAATAGCATGGAGGGAAATACAGGTGCAAACTGTTCTCTCAGTGGGATTCGTTATACTAAAGGAATAATATTTACAATGAACCAGAGAAATTAGAGGTGGAAATATTTGCAAGGTCATTGAAGGTCTCCCCCCTGATGCATGAATGTTTCCTACCACAGACTGAGATTTTTTCCCAGCCCAGTGTTAGGTGCCCTGAGCAGCAAAACTAGCACTGTTCAGTGGGGTCATTAATCCTCAGCCTGCCATAATCAGGAACAGGAATATTGTCTTAGCAGTGGGGATGACATTTTTGTTTACTTAGTGCCATCTCAGTCCCCTAGTTTACATCTCCTCAGATTGGCCTAAAGTGATTTTCTTCCTTTCAGTACTTGCTGTTAACCATATTTCCCCCTCCTAATCATYTGATAGATGTAATACATATTTAATTCTTTCACTTGGCTTCCCCAGCCAGCTGTTGTAGCCCCACAGTGATTTTTGATGTGCTTGTCTAAGTCTCTTCCGAGCTGCTGACCTCTTGCTGGTTTGGCAATAGAGAGACCTTGAGGCCCATCCTCGGGAATGTTGAAGTAAAAGGAGCTGTTGCCACCTCGGTCTGTGATTCCTTGTTTCARCCACTGTGGTCCTTTTTGCCTGCCATATAACACTGCACACTCACACCCAACTTGCTGTCCTCTGCCAGGTCTCTCTTGTCATGAATGCTCTCACAGTAAAGTGGGATCAGGTTGGGTTCAGCAGTGCACGCTATATATTTTCTGTTGATTAGAAGGATGGGATAAATTAGAATAAACTTTTCTTATGAACACCTTTGTCATTTAAACTTCTATTTCACAAATCTGTGTGTGAGCTTTATTTAACCAAATATTTTATGGATATATGGAGTAACAAAGTAGAGACAAAGTGAAGATGAAACAATGTAACAATTTCCATATACTCACAAATTTTTTACATAGCATAGGCTGAAAATGTGACAGAAACATTCTTCTGTAGCATGCCAGCCTTTGCTGAGGGATATCAAGAAATAAACACAGACAATAATCTGTATTGTTTTGAGGTGAAGGAAGTAGATATCTGATTAAAAAGAAACCTCATTAAATGCAAACATTAGTCTTCTGTTTGCTTTTTACATTCATAAGGAGGAACAGATCCTTTAAAAAAAAAYGAATCTGTTGTTCACTAGGATTCTTGGAAGGGCTTGTTAAATCAGCAGGAACAAAGCTAGACATCTGGAATTACTGCACCTCTACCAAGCATTACCTGATGCCCTGACACCTGAGCTGCATGAAACGATGCATCTCCCATATTTCTTTAGCTGTTAGAGCAGCCTGATTCTCCCTCGAACAGAGAGAACAAGAGAGCTCTCTGGCTTTGCACCTTTGCTTTCCAATCTCAAGTTTGCACCTTTCTATCCCATGCTGCYTGGGTTTTTTGCAGCAAATCTGTGATGCACTGGAGTACAGCAGGCGGTTTACTTGTTTTCATGGAAGGACAATTTGTACTTAAAGTAGTGATTAGATGAATTCTTTCTTTCTTGCATGCTTTAGTTTCTGATGAGTACTAGCTTCATCAGTGTAATTATAATTAGCACTCTTCATCTTGCTTTTACGGTACCAGCTGGACAGATTGGTCCTCTTACTGCACAGATTGGCGGCAGGGTTGCCTACATGGAGTTAGGTGACAGGCACCATGAAATAACAGATGGTAAATTCAGGGCTTGTTGGCAATCAGCAGGTTTTTGCTAATGACTTAATTAGCTATGCAAATTGTCAAATCAGTGTGAACATTGTTTTTATCGAAAACTTTACCTAAATTAATTACCATAATTAAGTAGCAGAATGTCAAGTATATTGGATGCGTAAAAGGGCTTGGCTGGCTATGGATAAGAGAGTTACCATCTTTATTAGAGTGCTGTGCTCCACATTTGGGAAGTCTGAGGATAAGAAATGTGGTTTCTTTTAAACTACTTTTAAAATACGCATATCACCAAGTTCCCACTCAGATACACCCTGGTGCCTTTCCAAAGAAAATGGCTCAGGAAAGATTTACTGGACAAAAGATAAATATTTCAAGGAGGAATTTAAAGRTAGTTTCATAGCCTGATTATTTCCTTAAAATCAGGCACATTTTTCAGCCTATCTGCTTTTCAGGTTTCTGAGATCCAGAGCTACAAGCATGCAGCTATAGAGATGTGTTATAATTTTTAATTAAATTAGAAATAAARTGTAAGCCTCTCTTCTCGTTCCAACTATGTGGGAACTATTATCTCTGTTGTTCAAATGTCACAAATTTAAGAGATGYAAATTCTCTAACATGATTTTTTTAAGTTGATTTTTTCTCTCTCAAGGTTTCCATATAACAAATATTGGGTGCTGTTCACAGGATGTGATGGTGGTAGGAGAACCAACTCTGATGGGAGGCGAATTCGGGGATGAAGACGAAAGGCTTATCACTAGATTAGAGAATACACAGTATGATGCAGCAAATGGCATGGATGATGAAGAAGATTTCAACAATTCACCTGCACTGGGAAATAACAGCCCATGGAACAGCAAACCTCCTGCTAACCAGGAGACTAAATCTGAAAACCCCACACCACAAGCTTCCCAATAGGTTATTCTGCAGCAGTGCCCACTGCGATGTACCCCAGTGGGTTACTAATTACTGTTTCACAGAATTCTTCAAAATAAAATTTAAAAGAAACTCCTTTCAAATGATACAGTATCTATTTCTAAACTAAAGCTATCCAATTTTCTTTTTCGTTAGGGAAAACTCTTGTATAAACTTCCATACACATTCCTTGGAAGTATTCTCATACAATTAGATACTGGCACTGACCTCAATTAAAATAATTGAAAATTAAACAGCATCTCATGGCAAGTTTCTGACAGTGCATTTTATTGGAAGGGGTTGTTTTTTTCCTCATCAAACAAAGGCCATATTTTAACAAGTCATCAGTGCTCAGGATCTCATTAACGTAACTATGTAAAACTTTTTACAATTGTAATATATTTTCTGCTTTTCAACTTGCACCTGAAATTTCTTGTTTCAGAAAAAGATCAGCTTTTAAGGAAAAGTAATTTAAAGTAACTTTTGTTCATTCTTTAACTTTTCTTTCATCAGTTAATCATTTGAAGGATCCAGCATTTTTAATTTACATTTAGCTGATGCCAGTAGATACTCTACCCATCATTTAATAAAAATACTGAAACAAGAAATGTCTTTTTTTCATCAAAGACATGAGAAATATTTTTATGTGGAAAAAGACACCCAGTCCTATGAGAGTTTATGCTTTGTAAAATTGCTGTCGATCCAGATATTTTAAAGCCATGTAATCCATTAACTTTGTGGGCAGCTTAATAAATCTAAAACTTTTGTGTTTTTATTATTGTATCTGAGTTGGCTTTGTTGTTATTTCTTTTCATAGTATATTTCTTGTATAATATTTTTGTAAAACCCGCATTTTTTTGTTTTACTTTTTTTGTTTTGTTTTGTTTTTTATTCCGGTGTATTTATGTGAAACTTTATAAAAGAAACTAATTTTTTTCATTTACATATTAATATGTTGAACTCATCATGTAAAGACACAGTGAGTCAGTGTGTTATATAATACAACTGTATTTTATGTATGCTTTGCCAATAAGTGTGCCAATAAACTGTGTTAACAAATGTGCTCTTATACAGTGCATTTACAGTTCCTTGCATGCAAAACACACACACACACCCATGTTCAGGGCCATGCACCAGGGATTTCTGGKTTTGGTGTTTCACTGAAATGCAGTCTTTTTCCAGCTAAAGGKAGTCTGTGGTTAGGTGTGAATCGCTTGCAGCTCAATTTGCTCTGATGCTCTTTTTCTGACAATAATGATGTGCAGCATCACAGGTGAGTTCCAGCAGCGAGAGCCAAGTGTGAGGGAGTGCAGGGCATCCAGCCACAGCATCTCCATCCTCAGCTTTGCATCCCTCGCCTCCCAGGGCCAGGGCTTAYCAGAGCAGGGGATTTCCACTCTGCTGAATTCTGTCTGATAGTTTTATGATGAGTCCCTCAACTGGGGATGWGAGGATTTTTAAAATCCTCCTCCTTTCTTTGCTTTGCTATCCTATCAGTTGTTCAGCCCCTGGAGTGGTGCAGCTGCTCTGAGCAGAGCCCAGCCTGCAAAGCCCCTGGGCTGAGTTCGAGGACAGAGGCACAGCCCTGCATCCCAGGGCACCTGGGAAGCCCTGCAAGGTGCACCCTGTGAGTGGCAAACACAGGAAGAACTGTTGGCAGAGAGATGCTGAATCTACACAATCCCGCCWTTTGTGCAGGGCAGTGATGTTTTGTTCTTCCCTGAAACTCTGCTTTCAATATTGCTGACATGTTAAGAGCAGCCAAAGAACTCCCAGGTTTTTTCTGAGTGGCTGTACATATTCCCAGAACCCAGCCTAGGGAAATGTGTCTCCTAAGCAGTTTCCTAATATTTTTTCAATCATGTTTTTCTGGGTGTGATTCCACCGAACRGTTTTGAAATCACTATTGCAGAAAGAATTCAAGGCAAAGCACCCTGCACGTCCACTTGGCTCTTAGTAAGAGGCAGGTCCCTCTCCACCCAGGAACCAGCCTTGGCCCCTGATGTGGGGCCATGCTCCTAYAAGCAAAATCCTTGTTCAGTACTCCTGGCAGAAAAATAGCCTAAAAGACACTCCAGGCTCTAGAACACAAARAATATCAGCTGTAGGATAGACTTTAGAACTAGCTAAATAACAAATGTGGATAGCAATGCTGCTTATTCATAACRCTTGCAGAATGTAGGAAACTGCAGTTTTATCATTCAGTGGCTTTATCAGCCCTGATATTTCCATGTAAATAATTAAATTCACAATGTATTCCATTAAGGGTTCTCTGGCTTCTATATAGCCACTATAACATTACAATTATACACTGTAATTCTAATGTTCAAAAACACTAATCATTCATATTACATCTCCATGAGCACACTCTAAAAAGCGTTCCTTATTATTAATCTTTCAAGACTRGCACTACTATTTCAATTTTTAAAAGATTTATGATGTCATATTACTCCTGTTGTTTCAGTAAATAAACACAGGAGGGCTTGAAAAATGGGCAACAGACTCTTTAGAGTGCTGCCCTTGAATTAATCTCAAAGGACACTTTCTCCGTATCTCCTCAAAACCCTYGTCTGCAAGCTATCAATCCACCCTGTTGTGGTTAGGGTGAATAACAGATGGAGGTAGCTGATTTTATTTAGTCACTTATTTATTCATAAAAAGGTGTCCAGAACGGGCCATCTTGAGGAGGTATTTGAGATGGACAGCAGCTGGACATGCTGTCTCCTCACTGCTGCGTCCTTCGCCCCCATGCCCTGGGCTGCTGCGTGGGCTTTTCGTGCCATGTTTGAAATGACACGGTAAACTCACCAAGATGGAGCCTCTGATCCCATTTCTGACCCAGATCCTGTCCTCAGGAACACTCTCCACAGGTTGAGGATCACATGAATCCATGGATTTTATGGCTTTGGGTTGGGGGTTGTCATTAAACAATACCGTGGCTTCCATGTGCTCCACAAATGCCTGGCACAGAGCAGAGGGAAAGGTGAATGAACAGGTGAGTTGAAGCAACAGGTTTGTTAAAGCTGAGGTTGCAGCCTGAAGAATGAAAAGTTTGAAACCAATAGTTAATTTTATAGTAATCTAATCTCACCACCTACTAGAACATTGTATCTCTCTTAGAATTTGGAAGGAAATGTTTTCGGCACTTCCCCCTGGGGAGCCCTGAAGCTATTAAAAGGAGGAAGGAAGCTTATCTCATGATGTTGAAATACTTTCAAAAAGAAAGCTCTTGTTTGTTTTAGCTAAATGGAGGGAAGTGCTGCCCCTGAGAAGTGCCCTCCCAAAGCAGAGGGAGGAAATTCCAGGAATTTACTTGGAAAAGCAGAATTATATAATTAGTAAAGTGACCAAATACGAACATTGATAACCAAGCTTGTTGCTGTTACAAAGAACTCAAATCATGCAAGAGTCATAAGCAGTGGCGGGTTTGATTGGTCTTTGAATTGCTTTGTTTGGGGATTGTTGGGGTTTTTTTTGGTCTTTGTTCAGAAAAGTCCATTTCTTAGAGAATTTCAACTCCTGTGAATCATCAGCTGGTCTCACCAGCTGCCCTTTGTGAGAACATTTCAGTTCCTAAAGCTCCTTCTTCCTCTCTTTCCACAACAAGAAAAAAAAATTAAAAAACAGCCAAAAAAAGCAGTATTTACAGCTTTGTAGTCTTTTCAGAAAGCAGGCTTTCTSAGGTTTCATCATCTTTGCATTGATATGTATGGATGCAATAGTAGTAGGTTAATTCARTTTGGAAGGGACCTTGGGAGGTTATTAGTGTTTGCATTCTTGCAGCATCACAGAGCTCTTTGAAAGTTGTGACTCATTTTTAACCTTGGTCCTGGAGCAGGTACTGCTCTCACACATTTGGAAAGTGTACCCAGCTTGCATCCTTGGGGAGCAGAGCAAAAGTGCCCCATGCCAGAGGGGTGAGGAAGCCAGGATGATCAGTCTTGAAGTGTGCAAGAAGACACAGGGGTTAGAAGGGGAGGAAACTACCAAAGAGAAAGGAAAAACATTGAACACCACTGGGTGTTCTCTAACACCGGGGTGGAGGGAGGCTCCCTACCCAGCYGTGGCTGCAAAAATCCATTAAAGGAGTCTAAATGATAGAACAGACTAAATTTTGCAATTTCACGGCCTCCATGAAAATCCCATTTTAGCAAAGACAGGATGAAAGAGAAAACATGAATGATTGATATKGAAGGAAACCCAGTTTGTGTCTAATATATCCTGGAGAAACTGCTAATGGAAATTGAATAGTCCTGAAAATATTTCCTGAGACTGCAACTCTGATCAAGTAGCCCTATGGTGATATATTGCATGTCCAAATTAAAATTGCCCTGGGGCACACGTAACCCCAGCAGCTGGTTTTACTGTGCAGGATTGGATGATTTGTATGTTTTTTCTAGCTTTTTGACAGCATATTTTTATACAAGGCTAAGGCCTGAATCTTCTACTCTGTAAGAGGAGCTATTGAATATTTAAGATGCCGTGGAACTGATGTTACTCCAGCAYGTCATTATGTTCTATTAGGAAGCCTGGTGGTACCCCAGCATTGTAGAATGGCAGATGGTACCTTTAGATAGAGAGTCACTAATGAAAGTCTCTAAATTTATGGACCATACTCATGCATTTCTTGAGAAAATGTGAATTTCCACTGAATGCTCACTGTATTAAAATCTGTTCTAATTTACCATGTTATTTTGACAGCATCTAGTATCAGTAGTTTTAAGGGGAGAGGCTTTATTAGGAGCAGTGATGGAGCAATCTAACTGTAAAAGCATTTCTTCCATGACCCTGTGAATCATGTCTGAAATAAAAGAACTTTATCCCTCACATCAAGAAATAATTTTTAATGGATCTATGGGCAGTCTTAATTCATAAGCACATTTTGAAACACCATTATGCATTAAAGATGACATCAGGAAATAATTCACTTGTGCATTCAAAATCAAAAACTTTATAAAAGCATCCATCTACAACAGAGCACAAACACTCCAGCTCCCCAAGAAATTCCCTATTCTGTTACCAACGATTTTATAGGGGTCAGGATTCGATTGATTAGCTTTGAATAAGATACTGGATCCATCCCTGATAATTCAGGTYACAGGTTATGGCATATTAGCAAGAGAATGTGCTTCAGCTGAACCAGATGAATGCCCACCCAGTGTGCCTCCATGCCTGTTGGACAACCAAATTCAGGATCCTTTACGTCAGTGATCCTGGCTGGAGTCCGAATTTCTTCTGGTTTATTTTATTTTTTTTCTGTGTGTGGTT